CCCAGCTGCCTGGGGTGGCCCCTGGCCGCAGGTCTTGGGGGGTCTGCAGTGTGGGACCCAGGTCTGAGTTAGGGGCCTGTGCCCATCCCATGGAGCCTCTCTGCCTTCCCTGTACTTTTCCAGTGGGGGACTTGCGGGACTTTGTGAGGAGCCACCTGGGGAATCCTGAGCTGCCCTTCTACCTGTGTGAGTTCTCCTGGGCCCCCTAGACACCTGCGGGTGGCCTTTGGTGACCCCTGACTCCTCCCAACTGGGGCTCGAAGCAGCCTTGCCCTAGAAATGACGCTGCGGGGCTGTTGGTCCTGCCGGGGGCCCGCCCGACCGTGTGAGCCTCACTGGTGGCAGAGGGCGAGGCAGGTGATCAGGGGCTCGGGAGGGGAGCTTGGTTCATGCCCCTCCAGCGCCCCTGCATCCTCTGCTTCCAGCCTGCCTCCCCTCTCCCGGGTGTCTGGGCTGCGCGGAGAACCGTGTGAGGCCGGGGACCCCTCGCTGCCCCTAAGCCCCCCGCCAGGGCTCCCATAGCGGCAGAGGTGGGCAGGGGGCCGTGAGCTGGGGTGGGGGGCAAGGTGCTCCGTGGCCCAGACAGCTGTTTCTTTGCAGTCATCACTCCTCCCAAGACTGTCCTGGATGACCACACGCTGACCCTCTTTCAGGTACTGCTCTGGGGCGGGGGGGCAGGGGTTGGGGGTGCAGGTGCGGCCGCTGGCTCTGGAGGAGGAGCACCCTGGCAGCTCTACGGGAGGATCTGAGGCCTCGGAGAAGGGGTATGGGGGGAGCACCTCTGCGGCTTCCCAGCCTCCAGTTCCTGCCCCCGCAGGGTGGGGCCTGCCCGGCTGGCCGTCCTGGGGTCTGGGTGACGGGCCAAGCAGGCAGGGCTGTGGGGGCCCCCGAAGATGAAGGGCGGAGGCGTCACCTGCAGGTGGCGACTGGCTGGCTGCGGGCCCCTGAGGGGCGGCCTCGGCTGCGGGGGCGGCTGCTGGCCTGCTCCCCTGCTGCTTCCCCTGCACCCCGAGGCCTCTGCGGGGAATGTGCGCTCCCCAAGAGCTGGGTCTGCTTCCGCTGCCGCTCCCTGTGGCCCCCCCAGCTCCTGCAGGTGAGGGGGGAGCAGGGTTGGGGCGCCCTGCCCTGCCCTGGGGGCCTGCCTTCCAGAGGAGGAATGTCCTGTTTCTCTGCCCCGGAGGGTAGCCTGGGGCCTCCCCAGCCCTGCGGCCTAATGGTTTCCTCTTCAAAGTCTTTTCAGATATTTTAATTAGTAACAGAGGCCGCCCTCGTTAAGTGGCTGGCAGGCCGCGAGGTCTGAGCTGGGGCAGGGGCTGCGTGCTGCCTGTGGCTGCCCCGCTGGGGGGGGACACGGGGCAAGGCCCACAGGGACTGGGAGTTTAGCAAGGAAAGAGGCCAGGGCGGCGGGGGCAGGGCGCTGCCCCCCAGCTCCCAGCCCGGGCCCGGGAGCCCCAGGGGCCTCTTCCTCTCTTCCTCCCTCCCTCCCTCCCGGGCAGCCTGTTGATAAACATTGAAGTTAGGAGATGCCCAGGGTGGGGGGACCGGCGCGCCCTCCCTCCCGCCCCAGCGGCCCGCTTCCCGGTGACACTGTGCCCCCGCCGCCAGCAGCTGTCTCCTTTCATCCGTCAGCTGAGCCGGAGCCGCGGGGCCTCGGCGCGGGGTGGCCGCCCCGCCTGCCGCGATCAGAGCGCTGGCAGCGCCCGGGGAAGGAAGCCTTCCGCCGCGTGTGGGTGCGCGGGCGTGGGCGCGGGCGCGGAAGCCGCCGCTTTCATGTCCCTGGCAGGGCCGTGCTCTGGCCGCCGGCTGCCCGGGAGGCTGCCCGCCGGGGGCCGCGCTCAGCCCAGGGAGCTTCGGGCTGGGGTGGGCGCGTGCTGGCGAAGGTGGGGCCCGGGCCAAGGTGAGGGGGGATGAGGGGGTGCAGTTGGTGGCGCGGGCGCTCCTGGTGCCCATCACGTGGGCTCAAGTGCCGGTGCTGTCCTGGGCCCAGGGGACCCCCGCCCGCTCCGCAGGGAGGGTCCGGCGTGTGCCCGAGCGGAGGGGTAGCGCTCCTTCCTGGTGGCCGTGGCCGCCTGTGCTGTCCCCTCACCCCTCACCTGGTTGGAGCCCCAAAGATGCCAGCGGGCGAGGGTGGACCGCTGGTGGGGGGCTGGGTTCAAGGGCCCTGCAGCCCCCAGACCGCCCTGCCAGGCGGGTGTGGGCAAAGTCCCACGAACCGGAACATTCTCATACATGCAGCGCCGAGAGGGGCCGTGGTGCCTGGAGGGTCGGCCAAGCCGGGGCTCCCGGGGGTTGGGGCAGCACCATCCCTGTGTCCCCATCCTGCTCCCCATCTTCTGGTGCCTCCAGGACCCTGCACGCCCCACAGGCCGTCCCCGCAGGAGGCTTTGATGTGTCAGGATGGGGCGAGGGCTTTTCAGATCTGCCCTGGCCTCGGCCTCCGCCCTCCACTGAGCGCCTCCTCAGGTGCCGAGGCAGGCCTGGTGGACTCTGGGGCCCCCTGCCTGCAGCCCTGATGCTGCACCTCCACTTAGCCCCTGCTGGGTCTGCGTGCCCCCCTCCCCGGCCTGTGAGGGGCCCCGAGACCCACCCTGACCCACACCTGAGCGGGAGCCCTGCCGGCGCAGCGCCCTCCCTGGTCCTAGTGCTCCCTACCAGGTCTCTGCCCGGAGCCGCGTCGGGGGGACTGGAACTCTGGTGTGGGCGTTCGGGGTCTGGCTGACCTGGGTGGCCCCTCCCTGCGCAGGACTCTCAGGGCACTGTGGTGAGCAGGTCTGCGTGCCCCCCACTGCTGCAGACCCCTGTGGGCTGTTCTTTGAGGAACACCGCCCCTCCTTGCTCCCCAGACTTCCCGCCCCCCTGCCCCAGTCTCTGTGTCCATCTTTGTCCCTGCCCTGTCGGCCCCTTGCAGTCTCTGCGGGGCGGGGGAGCTTCCAGGCAGGTTCCCCAGGGAGCCAGGCCGGTGGGAGAAGAGGTCAGTAGAAATGCCAGAGGACCCAGTGCTCAGGGGCTCCTGCAGGGACCCCTGGGTCTCACCGCGCCCCCAGCTTGCACCGGGGCTGGTGGGAGGGGGACCTAGTAGAGCCGGGCTGGGCAGTGGCCCCTCTCAGCAGAGCCCCGGTCCTGGGGAGTGCACGTAGCTGCACATGCAGCCTGCAAGAGGCCACCACAAACGTGGGCTGCAGCCCCCCCACCTGTCCCCTGGTGCCCACCTGGTGCCCTGAGCTGCTTCCTTTTCTCCCACAGGCGAATCTCTTCCCTGCTGCCCTTGTGCATCTTGGAGCTGAGGAACCGACAGGTGAGTGGGGGCCCCTCCCCTTGCCCAGCGCAGCTGGCCAGCCCCGGGCCCCGAGCATCCTGGCTTGTCATATGCCCCAGAATAAGGGACGTGTGGACATGTGGGAGGGAGGTCTGTGCCCAGACAGCCCCCCGCCCAGGCTGCTCCCCTCCCAGGGCCCGGCAGCTGTGGCCTGACGGTGGGCTGGGTGTCTGCAGGCCTCTTCCTGGCGCCGAGGCTGCTGGAACACACCGTCCCCCCGTCTGCGGCTGACGTGCTGGTGGCCAGGTGAGTGCCTGCACTGCGGAGGGGGAGTCCCTGCTGTGGCGCGTCGGCCGTCCTGCACCCCGGCCTTCTGTCCACAGGTGCATGTCCAGGGTTGCTGGGACCCCACCCCCAATGTTGGCCCCTGACCCTGCACCCCTTGACTTGGAGCCAGCAGCTGAGGCGGAGGCAGTGCGGCTCCCTGAACCCAGCCCTGGGTCGGCCCAGCCGGTCAGAAGGGACCTGGGCAAGGTGCCCAAGTGGCTGAAGCTGCCAGGTACCGTAGCAGGGCGCGGCGGAGGGAAGGGGCCGCTGACCCAGGGCCCCGTGGTCATCCTGGTGTTCCCGTTGCAGCCGGCAAGAGGTGAGGGCCGCCAGCCTGGACGCACCATCTGCTGCCACAGGACTCCCCCCCACCCCGAGCAGGAATAAAGGTGTGAGCTGCTCTCCCGCTCCCCCTGTCGTCCTTTCTACAGCAAAGGGCCCCGCTGTCCCCTGGGCCCGTGGGTCCTGCCGCTGGCCTGCACGTGTCGACCCAGGTTTCATGCTTGTGGACAAAGGCACAGGGGTCTTACTGCGAGCCGCGACTTTACCTAACTGACCCCAGGAATCACCCCTCCCGCGAGGACCCACTTGCGTGGGGAAAGGCCCCAGGCGAGCAGGGCCGCCCTAACCCAGGGCACCGGACGACGGGAGGGACAGGGAAGGCAGGCTGCTGCCCCCTCTGAGCACTTCTCGGCCTCGAGGCACGGGTTCTCCCAGCCGCCCCTCCGGGTCTAATCACTTCCATGTCCTTCCAGCGCTTTGAACCTCTGCGACTCCCCGAGGAGCTGGGCGGGAGGAGAAAGTTGGGGAGCCAGCCAGCGGGGTGAATCAGGGAGGGCAGGCTGGCCCCCGCAGCCCATGCCCTGCTCAGGTGTGGACGAGGCTGCCCCCAGGAGGTCCTCTAGGGTTGCTCCCAATTCCCGGGGTGGGTGGGGCATCCTCCCCAGTGGACATCCTGCCGCTGTGTCCAGACTGCACAGTCCCTGAGCAGGTTTTGGAGCTGAAGCGAGTTAGGTGCTGCAGGGTGCGGAGGGAGCAGCCGGGGGCCGGGCAGGCCCGTGAGCATCCACGGGCAGCCATACCACCCGGCCCGGCTCCTGAGGGTCCCGTGCGGCCCCGGATCTCCACTGGGGGCGCGGCCTGAGGCCAGGCCTCCAGCCTCCGGCCTCCAGGCCCCGCTGACCCTGCCCACAGCGACGCTGCTGGGCCAGTGGCAGCCGCACAGCCGAGCATCCCGCGGCAGGAGCGCCGTCCGTGCTCCCAGCCACACGTGGGGCCTCAGGTCTCCCTGGCCCTCGCCGTGGCCCTCCGCGGGGCGCTCGCACACAGTTCCATGCCGTCCTTCCACCGGCTTGGACAGAGGCAGGCCCGTGGGCTTCGAAGCAACCGGACTTTGCGTGATTAATGGCAACGGAGGTGTGCCTGGCGGGCGGCTTTGATTTATTGATGTTGCCTCGGGAGAGTAAACGTGTAGTTCAGGGAAGCGTCTTCCGAGGGGCAGCGAGTGGTTAAGAGGTTGCAGGGAAGCTTTGATGTCGGGGTGTCAGGCCCCCTACTTCTCCGCACCTGCTTTCTCCCCGGTGGGTGTGAGGGGTGAGGGGAGGGCACCTGCCCCCCACCTCCCCTCAGCCACTCCATCTGCTGTGTCCAGCGGGTCAGCAGCAGGACAGAGAACCCCGGGAGCAGCAGAGCATCTGCCAGGACCTCAGGCTGGGGCCAGAGGCCACAGAAATGTGGGCGCAGGGCTTGGTCTTGACTGGGACAGCAGGCGCAGTAGGGGTGGGAGCCCCTAGAAGTCCAGGAGCTGTGGGGTGGGGAGAGCAGCACTCAGCCCACGGGCCTCAGCCCTGCTCCCGGGAGCGCAGGATGCAGGATGGGCCGCAGGCACCTACCAGCTGAGGCAGCACCTTCTCCAGCTGGTCCACATCCACAAGAGCCAGGTCCTCTGCCTGGGCCTGTCGGACGCTGCGGATAGCTGCTTCTGTCGTGACACGGGGGAAGTGATGGGGCATCCCAGGTCGTCCCCCCCCCAAGCGCTGGCTGGCAGCTCAGAGGATGGAGCTCGGGGGCCCCTGGGACACGGGGTTTTCCAGCAACGGGGCGTAGGGCTGATGGGGAAATGGCTCCCAGCTGCGTGTTGATCCCCCCCGCTGAGAAAGCCAGGGGAACAGGGTCAGGACCAGCCCCGTGGGACACGGACACGCCAGGGCCCTCGGGCTCACCCACAACGAAGATGGTCAGCAGCTCCGCCATGAGCCTTAGCGCATCCCCACTGACTGCAAGGTGGGAGGGAGCAGGTGATGGGCCACGCCCTGCCCGCCCCCGCCCTGGGGCCCCAGGCCCGGCCTGCACCCCGGGGCTCTCCTCACTAATCTGAGCTCCTCACACAGGTGACCCCTTTCCCCCAAGTCACGGGTGCCTGGCAGCCCCCAGGTACAACCCTGCCCACCGGCTGGTGCCCACGCACCTTTGGTCTTACTGTCCGTAAAGTGCATCTGCAACAGCTTGCTCACCAGTTCCTGGGGGTGGGAGGAGAGGGGTGGGGGAGTGAGGTCAGCGGCCCGCACGGCACCCTGCCTGCCAGACCCCTCAGGTATTTAGTTCTGGTTGCTGGAAAGGCCCTCCATCCGTGTGGCCTCTCCCAGGGTGGGGGACTGGGCAGTGAGAAGCCCCGAGGTGCCTCCAGGATCAGAAGTCTGACGCGGGGGGGACAGGTGGGAGCAGTCCAGGCGCCCACCTGCTGCTGTCTGGGCTCCAGTCCGCGGGATCCAGGGTGGTCTTGTGCTCCCGCCCCTGGGCGGAGGCACTCCTAGCGGGGCAGGACGTAGCTGCTCCTGGTGTGGACACATCTGGCAACACTGCCTAGCTTGTGCCAGACCGTGCGCTAGGTGCCAGGTCTAGGTGGTGGGTGGTCCATCGGAGGTGTGCCCCCCACCCCCAGGAGGCTGCAGTGCAGGAGGGAGTTCTCCTGTAACGGGATGGACACTGGGAACCACAGAGCTGGACGGGGGCTGGGCTGCCAGGGTGGGTGCAGGAGGAAGGGAGCACAGCCTGGGCACATCTACAGGGCCTCCTGACAAATAAGGGTGGGTCCTAGCCCGGACTCCCCAAGGTGGGGGGGGGGGCTTGAGCCCATAAGGGACAACACCCCTCTGCAGAGCCGAGGGCTGTGGGTGAGAGATCCTGGGGGCTGGGAGGCACCCAGGCAGAGCCGCCAGGTTGGGGAAGGATGATGAGGATTTGGGGAGTGGGCCAAGGGCGGGTACAGAGAGCAGGGTCCGGCCGGAAGAGGCTGTCAGTGAGGAGCCAGCCAAGCCAGCAGGGAGGCAGGAGCGTGGCCACAGGAGCCCAGAAGTGGGGTGTCCCGCAGGGAGGGTGAACTGGGGACTGACCAGCCCTGCAGCTTTAGCCATGGGGACTTCGCCGTCTCAGCCCGGTGCAGCTCGGGAAAGCCCAGGAGCAGAGCAGAGGGGCAGGAGAAGGCGTGGATGCCACGGGGCCCAGGGGCCCAGGCTCAGGGGGGTAAGAACTTGCCACCCGGTCACTGGGACCACTGGAACGCAGCCTCGCCCTCCCGGCAGCGACCGTGAGAGCCTGGCGCCACCTGCCGGGGAGGGGACGCCCTCCTGCCCCCCGAGCTACCGAGCAGGGCTGTGACATCAAAGGAGTCAGACCAGTGATTTCAACTCGCAGAGGGCAGGACAGGACCTGGACGCACTCAGCCTTCGCCCCGCTGCCTGCAGGGGCTCTGGCCCCTCCGTCCCCACCACCCTCAGCGGGGACAGCCCTGCCCAAGGGTAATCACGGACTCGGCTCTGGCGGAGCCCCAGGGTGCGCCCCCCAGGACCCTCTGTGCAGCAGTGATGACGGGGGGATTCTCCTGGTCACTTGGCCAAGTCACCCTGGCCTCGGTGACCTCCCTTTTCCCGTCATTAACCCCTCTGGGCCAGGGCCGAGCCTCCGTCCTGGATGACAAAGAAGAGGAGGCTGAGGCAGGTGAGACACAGAACGGATGCCTCTGTGAAGCCGTAACTCCTGCCCTGGGACGGGTGGAGCACGGCCCTCGGGCCTACCTGGCGCACCTGCTTGACCTCACCCAAGGACAGGCCCACCCAGTGAGACGCAGAAGCCACTCGCAGCCTGCAGGGGTGGGGGCCGGGGCCCTCCGTTCCCACCCACCCAGAACCTCAAACGGCTGCTGCTCCAGAGTGGAATGGCCTGAATGAAGCCCTCACTCGGCCTCAGTTTCCCCACTGGTAAGACCCACGTCCTCACCGGGTCAGCCTCCGCCAAGAGCACGCAAATGTGCCTGAATGGAGGTGTCTAGGGCCACGCGAGGCACACGCGCACCCCGGTCCCGGCCCCGGAACTCGCACCAGCAGGGCCTCGGTTGGGCCCCGAGCACTGGCCCGCGAGACAACGGGCCAAGGGTCTGCAGGCAGGGGGCCCACCGGCGAGCGGGGCCCCCGGTCTCTGCACACACCCCTCGGCGGGCCGCGGGCGCTCGGCTGCAGGGCCCCGCGCGGAGGGCGGAGGGCGCGACCCGGGACGGTGAGTGCCGCGTGGGGCCGGGCGGCGGCCTCTGTGCACCCGCAGCCCGCCCGCGCCCCGGCCCGCCGCCTGCCCGCCCCGCTCCGCCCCGCCCCGCCCCGGCCCGGCCCGCTCACCTTCCGGAAGCCGCCGCCAGTTGCCTCCATGACCGCCGCCCCGACGCGCGCCCTACGGAGCCCTCGGAGCCCCGGCGCCCTCGGAGCCCCCGGCCGGTCCGCCCTAAGCGCGCCCTCCGCGGCCCCGCCCCCGCGCCCCCAGCCAATCAGCCCGCGGCGCGCCCTCCGCGGCCCCGCCCCTTCGTCCCTATTGGCCGGAGGCGAGCGCCCGCCTCCGCAAAGCCTCCTGGGAGTTGCAGTTTGCGCCCGCCCTTCCCGGCGCGCCTCGCTCTTCCTGGATACTGAGGCTTCGCGGCGGCCGCGGGCATCCGCGGCGGGAGAGCGAGGGTCCGGAGCGCGCGGGCTGGGGGCCTGGGGTCGCGCCCCCCGCGGGCGAGCGCTTCCGCGGGGGCCCTCACCCCGCCGCCCCCGCCGCCCCCGCGCTCACGGGTGTCCCTCCCGTGGAGCCCCGGCGCTCGGCCGCTGAGCACTTGGGACCTGTGCTCGGCCCCGGGGACCCCGGGGGCCCCGGGGGCCCCGGGGACCCGGCTCCGTCCGTGCCGGCCCCTCCGGAGCGCCATGCAGCAGCTCCGGCTCGCCTACAGCCGGCTGTGCAGGGAAGGTGGGGCTGAGCCCCAGGAAGCCGTCCTGCAGCGACTGCAGGAGCTGCCCCGCGGCCGGCTGGACCTGGCCGCGCAGAGCCTGACCGTGGACACCTGCAGGGCCCTGGGCAAGCTGCTGCCGAGGGACGCGCTGCTGACGGAGGTCATCCTGAGCGACTGCATGCTGAGCGAGGAAGGTGGGCACCCCGGGCTGCCGGGCGCCGCGGGGCTGCAACCATTGCAACTGGAGAGCTGCGCTTGGGGTCCCGCCCTTTGCCGCGCTCCGCTCGGCCTGGGGCGCTGCGCCGGGTCCGGGTGCCTCGGCAGCCCCTGGCGGAGAGCTCTTCCGTTCCACCAGACCTCGTCTTTGTGAGGGGTCTTCTTTTCTTTAAGATTTTGTTTGTTTGAGAGACAGGGAGCGAGCGAGAGAACTAGAGCGGAGGAGCAGGGAGAGGGATGGAGGGAGAAGTGGGCTCTCCACTGAGCGGGGAGCCCCACGTGGGGCTCGATCCCAGGACTCCTGGATCATGACCCGAACCGAAGACCGATGCTTCACCCACAAGGCACCCAGGCGCCCCTCTGAGGCTTCCGTCGCGCGCTGCGTGTGGTTAAAGCAGGCAGCAGCGTCCCTGGCGGCAGCGGGCAATCTCTCTGTGAAAGAGAGACCTTCCCTCCCCCTGACTTACGGGAGTCCCGGCATGCGGGGGGCGTGAGGTCAGCAGCCCGGCCCTGCGCCCAGCAGAGGTTACAGGTGTTTCGCACCAAATAGGGAGCAGGGCAACTCTCTTCGGGCACGAATCCTGACCGTTGGGGCCGCTGGGACAGTCATCTCTCCTCTGTGGAGCTGCCCCACGCTGGCGCCCACGGGGAGGAGTGACCGCCCTGCCCCCTCACAGGGGCCTCACTGCTGCTCCAGGGGCTGTGTGCCAACACCATCGTGCGGTTTCTGGATCTCAAGGTGAGCAGGCCCCATCCGCTGCCTGGCCGGGGCCCTGTGGGGTGCAGATGGGGCATTTGGAGCCCAGCCTGTAACAATGGCGAGTCACCAGCCTGCCTCCTCCTGCCCTAGGGCAATAACCTTCAAGCCGCAGGGGCTGAGGCTCTGGGACAACTCCTCCGACAGAACAAGTCCATCCAGAGGTGAGGTGTGATCCTGGCCCCCGCCCTGCCACCAGCACCCCATGAGTGGTTCGGGGTTGGCCCAGGGGCCATCCTGCAGCCTAGGAGAGTCGTCTCCTGGCCAGTCGTCCGTTGGCAGGGTGTTGGCAACTGTAAGTTCCTCACGAGGCTCCAGCCTTTCTGCCGAAGACCCCGAAGGCTGCACCTGTCCTCTGGCCCCTGTGGCAGCAGGGTGCTCCCTGGGGCCGCACACCTCAGGTCCGCCTTTCCTGCAGTCTCACCCTGGAGTGGAACAATCTGGGCTCGTGGGACGATGCCTTTGCCACCTTCTGCGGGGCCCTGGCGGGCAACAGTGCCCTGCAGCAGCTGGACCTCCGCAACAACCAGATCAACCACAAGGGCGCGGAGGAGCTGGCCTTGGCCCTGGCGTGCAACACCAGCCTCCAGCAGCTGGGTGAGGCCTCCCCCCGACCCCCCGGCCTTCTCCAGATCTGCAGTCCTGGAGACCTGGGGCTCTATCCCACTGTTCCTTCCGCCTTTCTGCTGCTCTTGTCCTTCTAGAAGCAAGGGGGCGGAAAGGTGTGGGGAGGGGCCTGGGGAGCTGGGCTCCTGCTCGGCTGAGGATCACGGGGAGCACTCTTCCCAAAGGAAGCATCTCGGGCTGGGCCAGCTCTGTCCGGGTGCACCCCATCTGGTGACCACAGGTTTCCTTCCAGACCTGCGCTGGAACAGCATCGGCCTCCTGGGAGGCCGGGCCCTGGTGAACTGCCTCCCCCGCAACAGAGGCCTGTGGAAGCTGGAGCTGGCTGGGAACAACATCCCCGGCGACATCCTCAGAGCTGTGGGTATGGGCACCCGGGGCTGCCGATGGCCCGCACGGTTTGGAGCTGGCCGTCTGACTGGGCCAGCCACCGAGGGAGGGGCGGCTCCGGGCCCAGGACGGGGACGTGGAACAGCATCGGGAGGGTGGCCTGAACCAGAAACGGGACGAAGAGGGAGAGGGTGTCTAGGGAAGGGTGTGGTGGCGGGGAGCTCGTGGGGGACTTCACTTGTGGCGCTCTGAGCTGTCCCGTGTGCACTCGCTTGTTGGGCCCGTGAGGTGGGGGGTCACCCGTGGCAGACAGAGCAGCAGAGGTGCTGGCATATGCGGCCTTGCCCCGATGGTCATGCCAATACCTTGGTGGCCCAGCCACAGCTGGAAAGGGGCTTCTTGGCCCCTGCCCCGACACCCCAGAGGTCATGGCTGTGTGCGGGAGCCGTGTAGGAGCGGGGCCACCCGGCCTCCGTGGTCCCCTGCCATCCGTGACCCCGACAACGCAGCCCCGGGCCCAGTTGAACACCCTGCCACTCAGCGCGGCTACTTGTCCTTCAGGAGCACCAGGCACCCAAGGGCCTGAATGTGGGCAGGAGTCCCGCTCGTGGCCTCCACCCCTGCTGGGCTTGCCCTGCCCGTGTCGTCCCCAGCTCTCCTCACTGCCTCTGGCACCACCTTGGGCTGGCTCCTCCCCAGCTGCTGCCCAGATCTCCAGAACACGGGAGTTGAGCGTGACGTTCAGTTCTTGAAAGTCATGCGGTGAATTCTGACTCTTGGGGTGAGCCCAGATGCCCCAGGACCATACCCATCTGCGGCAGCTGAGCGGTTTCCCCTGCCCCTCCCGCAGGCATGCCCCCCTGAGCAGGTGCCTCCCGGGCTCCTGGCCCCACCGTTGCCCCCTCCCTATGCCTCCACAGCCCTTGGCCTCACGGCGCGCTCTGACGTGTGGGGCGAGACTGCCCACAGTGTCGACTGTCGGGTTACAGGTTCGGGGCCCGGAGCTGGGCTAACACTGGCCGCTCCTGCGGGGCTCCTTCCACAGAGCAAGCCATGGCCCACAGTCAGCAGCGGCAGGCCGCTTCCCGGGAGAATCGGGCCCGCACCCAGGTGCTCAGCAAGGAGGTGCAGCATCTCCAGGAAGAGAAATCCCGGCAGGTGAGGACAGCACTGCTCTGACCGCGGAGCCTCATGCCAGCAGCCGGGGCAAGGGGCCAGCCTCGGGGGGCCGGCAGGACCCCAAGCTCCTCTGACTGGCCAGAACTTCGGCCAGTTTGGTCCGGCCCGTGTCTAGGCAGGCGGGCAGGTGGGCGTCCCTGGGGCCTCTGTGCTCCCCAGTGCGGGAGCCCCGTCTTCCGTGAGGCCAGTGCCCTTCCGCTCTGCTGCTTGACCCGGCGTCGGCGCCCCTTCCTGCTTGAGCAGGGCCGGCAGGCGGGCTCCGGGCCCTCACAGGGCTCTGGCCACCTCTGCCCCCAGTTTCTGGACTTGATGGAGACGATTGACAAGCAGCGAAAAGAGATGGCCAGGAGCAGCAGGTGAGCGCAGCCCCGTCGGCGCGCCTGCGGTTTGGGTCCTGGCTTCGGCCTTGTGGGATGACTGACCCCGAGCCTCGTCACCTGCCCGCCGAGGTGGTGGCGTGTGCTTCCCAAGGACACGGGCTGGTGGGTTCGGGGCGGCCGCTGAGAACACCCCTAGCCACGGCTGGGACGTCGTGGAAGCATGAGGAGCAGCCGCTGCTGCCAGAGCCAGGGGGCCTGGGAGTGCTCTGAGGTTTCTCGGACCTTCCTTTCTGCTTCTAGGGCGTCGGCAGCACGCGTGGGTCAGCTTCAGGAAGCCCTGAACGAGAGACATTCCATCATCAACGCCCTCAAGGCCAAGTCAGTGGGGCTGGGGGCAGGAGTGGGGGCGGGCAGGAGTGGGGGGCTCTGGAACATTTTAGAGACGGGCCCACGGCAGAAAAGTGACACACACAAGAACTCTAGTCCCCAGTGTACAAAGTAGACCCCTGGGTTGGTAACCCCGGAAGGCTTCTTGGAGGAGGTGAGCTCTAGCTGAGGTGAAGAGTGGTGGGCAAGAGTGAGAACGGCTCCGCGTGTGCGAGGCTCAAGGCGAAGCTGGGACGGGGCTGGCTCTCCCCTCCTCCCAGGCTGCAGATGGCCGAGGCTGCCCTGGCCCTGTCAGAGCAGAAGGCCCAGGGCCTGGGGGAGCTCTTGGCTACCACAGAGCAGGAGCAGCGAAGCTTGGCACAGAGGCAGGCAAAGGAGCACAGGCTAGAGCAGCAGGTGAGCAGGGAGGGCTGGGTGGGCACAGGGTGGGCAAGGGTGGGCAAGGGCGGGCAGGCGGGGTGACCAGGGATGCCCCATCTCCCCCTCAGGAGGCTGCAGAACGGGAGTCTAAGCTCCTCAAAGATTTATCTGCTGCCAACGAGAAGAACCTGCTTCTGCGGAACCAGGTATGGGGGTGTGGGCCAGGGCCCTGGGGAGACTGGGGTGGGGGGCAGGGGACCAGGCCACAGGCAGGGGGCAGGGTCATGGGGCAGGGGGCCAGGGCCACAGCGGGGGCAGGATCATGGGGCAGGTGGCCAGGGCAGGGGCTGGGGCCACGGGGCAGGGGGCAAAGGCAGGGGGCCAGGGTCACGGGCAGGGGCCAGACCAGAGCTTCCGTCCATGGTGCTGGCTTCCCAGGTGGACGAGCTGGAGCGGAAGGTGAGATCTCAGCAGGAGCAGCTGTTCCTGGCCAGGCAGGAGCTGACCAACACGGCGGCTGAGCTGAAGGCGCGGGCCATCCAGGCCGAGGGTGGGCACACGCAAGCCCACAGCGGAGGGGCCCAGAGAGGGGAGGATGGGTGGCGAGGGCACCCGGGGAGTCCCACCCACGCTGTCCCCCCTGGGCTTCCAGAGCGTCTGGAACTGGAGAAGAAGAGGTCCCGACAGAGCTTGGAGGACCTGGAGCAGCTGCGAGCCAAGGAGGTGCCACGTGCCATCCCTTGTGACTTCCTAGGGCCCGCGGGAGCCTCAGGGGCATGGTGTCCCCAAAGCACACCCCTGCTGTGCTCCCTGGCAGCCTTGGGGTGCTGCGTGGTAGATCTCGGCCAGCCCCAGCAAGTGACAGACCCAGAAAGTCCTGACCAGCCTCTAGAAAAGACCATAGCACAGGCTGCCAGGCGCTCTGTGCCATCTGGGCGTGGCCCTGGGACGTGCCCTCCATCTTTACTTCTTGCCAAGCCAGGGGGGCAGCCCCTTCTCAGGAGGAAGTGTCACCACGATTTGCCTGCCACAGGGTGGAGATTGCATGGGGGATGTAAGCTGGGGCGCTAGTCTTCCAGCCCTGTTCCTGCCCCTCACCTTGGCAGGTGGAACACATGACTCGCCACCTGGAAGAGAGTGAGAGGGCCATGCAGGAGAGGGTACAGAGGCTGGAGGCCTCGCGGCTGACCCTGGAGGAGGTGAGCACATGCTGGTTGGGTGCTAGGCTCTCGGTCTCAGAACCTCATCAGGACCCACCCACTGACATCCCTCTGAGGCCAGGGGACCTAATGAGGTGGGACATGGGATCCCTGCCTAGTGAGCGAAGCTCTCAGGAGGCTGGTGCAGGGGTCACCCCGGCCCAGCAGCTGGGTGGGGCCAGAGGGGTCCCTGGCCAGGGCTGGGAGGACAGGCCCCGGGGGTCACCGTCTGTGCTACAGGAGCTGAGCCGAGTGAAGGCGGCAGCTCTCAGTGAGCGTGGCCAGGCTGAGGAGGAGCTCATGAAGGCCAAGAACCAAGTCCGTCTGGAGGAGGTGAGCCCACTGCTGGCAGCGCCCACCAGGGAGTGAGGCCTGGGGGGCTGAGGTGCATAGGCTGGACTCAGGCTGGCTTTGGGCTCAGTGGGGGGAGGTGGGGGGACAGGAGCCATAAGGGGCCGGGGGCAGGTAGGATCCCAGCAGGACAGGCCCAGGATCACATCCCACCCCCTACAGAGAGCTGCTGAGAGCTGCTGGTGTCCAGCCCTGGCATGGGGGCAGGGGTTCACCCACATGCAGCCTGTGATGGCCTGGCCCAAGCCGGAACCACGGAACCGAGTGGTCAGCCTGGGAGATGGGGGGAGCCCGGCAAGGGGACTACCTACAGGCTAGTTCAAGTTGAGCCTGTTGAGAATATGCACATGTAACTTGGGTAACTCGGGTTAGGAGGCCGTCTCCACAGGTCATCCCCACTCCGGCTGAGCGGGGTGGGGTGTCCGCCTCGCTCCCTGGTGCTTGGGGCGACATGCAGGGCGGCAGCAGGCAGGCCTTGAGTCCTCCTCACTTTGCTCACCAGCCCCTCTCCCGTGACCCCAGCAACAGCGCCTGGCTCACCTGGAGGAGAAGCTCCGGCTGCTGGTGCAGGCTCGGGACGAGGCTCAGAGCGCCTGCATGCAGCAGAGGCAGACGGTGGCCGACGCCCAGGCCCGGGCCAGCCAGCTGGGCCTGCAGGTGGAAGGCCTGCGCCGGCGCCTGGAGGAGCTGCAGCAGGTGGCTGGGGCGTTGAGGGTCTCCCCACGGTGCCCCGGGCTCTCCCCCACCAGCCATACGCTCACCCCCGTGTCTGGCAGGAACTAAGCAACAAGGACCAAGAAAAGGTGGCTGAGGTGACCAGGGTGCGGGTGGAGCTGCAGGAGCAGAACGGCCGCCTGCAGGCCGAACTGACAGCCCAGGAGGCGCTGAAAGAGAAGGTGGCGGCCCTGGAGCGCCAGCTGAAGGGTGAGCTGGGCCCAGAGCCCCCGGGGCCTTCTCGCAGGGGGTTGGCCCACACACAGGTGGCCGGGCTGCAGGGCTGCAGGGCTGAGCGGTGCCTGGTGGTGTGGGATCTGTGGGATCGTGTGGGATCGTGTGGGATCGGGGAGCCTGCCCGCGCCCCACCAGGCCTCCACCTGGACCTCCAGCCGGTGTCCCCCTCTGCAGTGATCGCAGGTGACCACCGGGAAGCGCTGCTGGACAGGGAGAGCGAGAACGCCTCCCTCCGTGAGAAGCTGCGGCTCAAGGAGGTCGAGATCGCCCGCATCCGGGAGGAGGAGGCCCAGAGGGCCAACTTCCTGCAAAATGCTGTCCTGGCTTATGTGCAGGGGTCTTCCCGGAGGGCCACGAGCCCCCAGAAGTGAAGGGCGGCAAGGCAGCGTCTCCCAGACACCGTGCCCCGTCCCTGCCCGTCCCTGCCCGTCCCTGCCCGTCCCTTCGTCTCAAGAGGCAGCCTGGCAGCTGGGGCGGGGTCTGCAGCTGGGGACTCGGGGGTCCGGGGCCAGGCCGGATCAGTCAGGCCCAGGGCCCAGGGCGGGCTGGCCCTGGTGGTGGGGAGTGGGCACCCCCGGCCCTTCCCGGGGCCCTTCCAGTCCAGGGAATTCGCTGGATGCATCTGCTGGAAAGCCCCCCTCCCACCCCCAGGGCGAGGAAATGCAAAAGACCTGCGGGAGCCCACACTGCACCCCTGCACCCCTGCACCCCACCCTTCTCACCTGTAACCTGGTGCGGGAGGCTGGCCCGCACCTCCTGCGTCTTCTAAAATACACTTTTTACACTTTGTGGTACATTTTGGGTGGTGCCTTTTCCCACACGTGTCTGTGCGCCCCACCACCCAGGGGACCCTCTGCCCCGACCCTGGAGGGAGGACCCCGGGGCCACTGCGGGGGGCGGGGGTGGTGGGACACGGGCACGCGGTGTCCCGGCTGCGCCCCGGGGCTCTCCCGCGACGGCGCCGCGTGCACACGGACGCCCCTCCCCTCCGCCGCCCCTGCGCGCCCCGGGGGCAGTGGGGGGGGCGGGGGCGCGGGGAAGCGCCGGGGCTGGGGCTTGGGCGCCCCCCACCGAGCGGTCCCGAGCCGCGCGCGCCGGGTTCGGGGCGGGCCCGCGCCCCCCGCGCCCCCCGCCGGCCGCGCTCGGCTGTCTCCGCGCCCGGCGCTCGGCGGCGCTCGGCTGTCTCCGGCCGCTCGGCTCGGCGCTCGGCTCGGGTCCGCGGCCGCTGCGGCGCCGGCGCCGGGCATTTCTCCGCAGCTCGGCTCGCGGCCGCGCCCGCCCGGCCCGCGCCCATGCAGGCCATCAAGTGCGTGGTGGTCGGCGACGGGTGAGCGCGGGGCGCGGGGGGGCGGGGGCGCCGGACCCGGGGCGGCGGGGGGCGCGGGCCTGCGGCCCACCTGCTGCTGCGCGGCCTCGGGGGTGGGGCCGGGCCTCACCTGCACTGCGCCCCCGGCCGCCCCCCGCGGAGGCGCGGCGGGGCCGCGGGAGGGGGCGCGGGGCGGGGGCGGGGCGGGGGCTGAGGCTCGGCCTGTGTCCCCTGTGTCCGCAGCGCCGTGGGGAAGACCTGCCTGCTCATCAGCTACACGACCAACGCCTTCCCGGGAGAGTACATCCCCACCGTGTGAGCGCGGCGCGGGGGCGGCGGGCTGCCTCCCCGGGCTCCCCCCCCCCCGGGCTCCCCCCCCCGGGCTCCCCCCCCTCCCCGGGCTCCCCCTCCCCCCCCCGGGCTCCCCCCCTCCCCGGGCTCCCCCTCCCCCCCCCGGGCTCCCCCCCCTCCCCGGGCTCCCCCTCCCCCCCCCCCCCCCCGGGCTCCCCTGGGCGGCGCCGCCACGCGGGGTGTGTGGCCCCGGCCCAGGCCCCGCCGACAGTCCCGCTCTGCCTGGCAGTTTCGACAACTACTCGGCCAATGTGATGGTGGACGGCAAGCCCGTGAACCTGGGGCTGTGGGACACCGCGGGGCAGGAGGACTACGACCGGCTGCGGCCACTGTCCTATCCCCAAACTGTAGGTGACAACGGGGCCAGCCCCCGGGGGGCTGGGGCGCTGGGGTGCGGGGTGCTTGAGGTCCTGCCGGGGGGCACGGGGGCCATGTGGAGGTCCTTGACCGCTCCCAGCCGGGCCCCCCTCGCCTTTCTCCCAAGGACGTCTTTCTGATCTGCTTCTCGCTGGTGAGCCCGGCATCCTTTGAGAATGTTCGAGCCAAGGTAGGGCTGTGCCGCTGGGAGGACCCGTGTGCAGGAGCAGGGGGCGTGGGGGGGTGCCCAGAGCACCTTCCCCGCAGGGCAGGGACAGTGTTGCCTGAAGACCTTAGGTCACGTGTCCTTGGGAGGCGGAGGAGATCTGTTTTGCTTGGGTCTGAAGGTGACCCAGGGGAGCGATGAGGGGGCAGAGGCAGCGTAGGGGCGCTGGGTGAGGCGCTCCGGGCCAACTACGAGGGCCATGGAAGCTTCCCGGTGGGTATTTTTGTCCTTGGCGGTTTCCCCACCAAGCCCACTAGCCACTTCATGAAGCAGGAAGGGCTCGGTGTGGAGCAGGGCCTGAGAGGAGGGGACCCTTGGGGGGCCATGGCCTGCTGTGCGCATGGCTGCAGGACGAGGCCCCAGGTGTAGGGGTCAGAGCCTCCATCCCCACAGTGGTACCCAGAGGTGCGACACCACTGCCCCCACACGCCCATCCTCCTGGTGGGCACCAAGCTGGACCTCCGCGACGACAAGGACACCATCGAGCGGCTGCGGGACAAGAAGCTGGCCCCTATCACCTACCCCCAGGGCCTGGCCATGGCCCGGGAGATCGGTGAGCGGGCACCGCAGGGGCAGGAAGGGGGCGGGGGCGTGCCCTGGAGGGCACAGAGCGGGCCCCCGCCGTGCTGACCCCGCTTGCACTGCATCTTCCACCGCCACCGGCCCCTCCGTCGCTGACCCCCGTCCCTCGCTCCCCCCAGGCTCTGTCAAATACCTGGAGTGCTCGGCCCTCACCCAGCGGGGCCTGAAGACCGTGTTTGACGAGGCCATCCGGGCTGTGCTCTGCCCACCCCCCGTGAAAAAGCCGGGGAAGAAGTGCACGGTCTTCTAGAGCCTGCCTCTGCAGGAGCAGCCCCGCCCGGCCGTTTGCTGTCGTATTGAGATGTTTGGTGTCTCTGAGTCCGCTGTGGGGGAGTGGTGTGGGTGGGGAGGGGGAAGACGCATGGGGACAAGGCCGCCGCTCCTGGGGACGGGGCTGGGGCACCAGAGTCCTGTCTGCTCTGTCTCCTCTTTCTGGGGGCACAGCTCCAGCTCTGCCTGGCCCCCACGGGAGGCTGGAAGGGAGCAGGGTCTCCCTCGGGCTGCAGGGGCGGGTCCAGGGCAGCCCCAGGATGGGCTTCCTGATGGGGGAGGTTGGGGGGATGGGTCCTGTTCGTGCGCCCCAGGATGGGGTGGCCCTTTCTTCTTTTATACAATAAACATTCTCCACCAATATCTCCCGCCTGTCTGGGTGCTCGCCTCTTTCCGCGGGGTGCTTCGCCCCTCACCTCCGTCAGGGAGAGCACAGAGGGGGGAGCTTGACCCCACACGCTGGGCAAGACGAGAAGAAGACCCCGCTCAGCTGTGTCCGGGGCCAAAGGATGTGACCAGACCAAAGTGGGAGTAAGGGCACGGAGCCCCTTTGGGGTGAAGAGGGCCACCCCCGCAGTACTGACTTCCGGGTCCTGAGAGGGGCACACTCACTGAGCAGCCAGATGTGGTCGGGGTCCACCGAGCGCCACGGACCCCGTCAGGACTGTGCAGCAGCCCCCCCAACCCTGCCCCCGCCGGGCCTGGGCGACACTCAAGGGGGAAGGCAGGGGGTGCAGTCTGGCAGGGCTGAGAAATCCTGAGAGGTGGGGCCGGGCGGGCGGGGGGGGGGGGGGGGGGCCGGGGCTGCAGGGGGGGGGCTTGGTCCCAGCGCTCAGATTTCACCCTGAGGCCGCAGGGCACCTCCAGGCAGACACGTGATTGCAACCTCCCCACGGTGCTGTGCGCAGAGCAGGCCCCAGCGGAGTCTGAAGGGCCAGCTGCGGCTGCCGGGCGTTAGCCAGCTACCAGAGAGCCTTTATTGACCATCGTATGATCACACGTAGCCGAATTGAAAGCAGAATCAACTCCGAATACTGCAAACACCCCTAGCTGATCCCGTACGCAGCCCTATTGTCCATTTCCGTGTGGTAAGGATAAAGGTGGGAGCCCCCGGGGGGGGGGGGGGCCCCGCCTCGGTTGAGCTTCCGACCCTTGGTTTCGGCTCAGGTCGTGACCTCGAGCACGGTGTGGAGCAGACAGCTCTGCACTCAGCAGGGAGGGGGCTTGAGGTCCTCTCTCCCTTTCCTCGCCCTCCACACTGTGTCTCTAAAAATAAATCAAGGGACGCCTGGGGGGCTCAGCGGTTCCCGGGATCGGTCCTGCGTGGGGCTCCCCGTAGGGAGGCTGCTTCTCCCTCTGCCTGTGTCTCTGCCTCTCTGTGTGTGTCTCTCATGAATAAATAAATCATTTTAAAAAGTATTTTAGGGATCCCTGGGTGGCTCAGCGGTTTAGCGCCTGCCTTTGGCCCAGGGCACGATCCTGGAGTCCCGGGATCGAGTCCCGCGTCGGGCTCCCAGCATGGAGCCTGCTTCTCCCTCCTCCTGTGTCTCTGCCTCTCTCTCTCTCTCTCTCTGTCTATATGAATAAATAAATAAATCTTAAAAAAAAAAGTATTTTAAAAAAATCAATAGTAAAAAAAAAAAAAGAGGTGGGAGACCACGCATCTCTCCCCAGCCCTGTCCTCAATGCCATCAAACGGCTGCGCGTCTACACGGTTGCAACAGGCAGGTTCTCCCACGGGACTTGATTTACCATGAACTGTCTAGACGGAAAGCAACGGAGAAGTGCAGATCAAGCTCCCGTGCTGCGTCTCGTGTGCTCAGTACTTTGTGAGGAACTCTTAAAAAGGTGAAAAAAAATGTTCTTCCAGTATCTGAGAACTATCATCTAATTCAGCAAAGAAGTTGTTCAGATCCCTGACAATCAGCGAAGCTCCCATGTCCATCTTTCTCGTTTCCCGTTTGTCTAACTCATTAACTTTGAGGAACATGAACCAACATTTACGTCAGGATTACCCCACAGAGCCGGCTGCTAAAGACTCCGCTGCCCGTACCCCAAAGGCCTCTGGACAGGGCCAAAGGTCATCCTTGGTCAAATTCACCACCAGGCTTAGTAGCTGGCCTTCTGGAAGGTCCCACTTCCCAGGCCTGAAAATCTCAGGCAAGGGAGTCACGTGCCACCCGGCCTGGGGTGTGAGTCCACCGGGGACTCACTCCTGCACGCAGCCCGGGACTCTGCATCGTCTGGCCACTTGCCAGAGCCTAGGAATCAATGTGCGGGCTGAGCAGAAGACTCATGTTTATTGGAGAAACTGGGCGGGGGGGGGGGGGCGCGCATGGAGCAGGGGTGTCAGGTAGAGACTCAGGTGGCCAGGAAACCCCCATCCACCGGCACAGTGGAACCCGTGGTCATGCTGCTCCGGTCACTCAGTAGGAAGAGGATGGTGTCCACCACGTTCTCCACCTCTGCAGGCAGGGTGGGAGTCAGGGCACAGGTGCGGGGGCGCTCCTCCATCCTCCCTTCCCACCCCTCATCTAGGCAGGCACTGGGGCTACTGGTGCAACTTCCAGCTGGGCTCCTGCCTGACTCACCCGCAAACTTGCCAAGTGGGATTCGATCCAGCATGGTCTTGGCCTTCTGAGGGTTGCTCCAATTGGCCTGGCCCATGGGGGTCATCACCACTGTGGGGTTTACCGTGTTCACGCGGATCTGCACCAGGAGGATAGGGAGGAGGTCAGCAAGGCAGACTAGGTCCCCAGGGTATGTGGGCTGGGTGGTGGGAGCCATCCCACAGGGCTCACCTTGTGTGGCCCAAGCTCCAGAGCCATCACCTTGGTCAGCATGTCCATGGCACCCTTGGTGGAGCCTGTGAGGAGCGGCATGCCTGGAGTCCGAGCTGGCCACAGGCTTGGGGGTCCGTGGGGTCGGGCGAGGGCGGAGCGGGGGGCTTACTCACAGTAGACGCTGTGGTTGGCTATTGCTCGCTGCGAGGCCTGGCTGGAGATGTTCACGATGGACCCTGGGGCTCCCCTGGCTATTAAGCCGCGGGCCACAATCTGGAATTGCAGAGGGAACGTGAGGCAGAACTAGTCACCCAACGGCCGTTCCCACCACTGCTCTGAAGGCAGCTCACCTGGGACACTTGGATGACAGCCCGCAGGTTCACATGGAAGGACCTGGAGGCAGATGGGGAGACCCTGGTCAGGGACTGGGGCCCGCTGCCGCAGGGGCCAGCCCTTGCCCTAGGGTTCCCCCACCCTGGCCGGCTCACGTGTCACACGCCTCCTTGGTGACCTCCAGGAAGGGCTGCAGCAGCGCCACGGCAGCGTTGTTCACCAGCAGGTCCACGGGGCCCACGCTGCCCAGCGCCCGCTCCATGGCCTCCCAGTCACCCAGGTCCACACACACGGGCTCCACCCCGGGACACTGTGTGTATGGGGGGGGCACAGCTGGGGGAGGCTCCATGCCTGGGGGGGGGCACAGCTGGGCCTCTGCCATGTGAGGCCTTCCAGGCCGACCGGGAGGGGTTAGAGGTCCCGGAGGGTCCGGCGCCCCAGGCGGCTGAAGGAGGTGGCTGAGGCGCCAACACGGCCCCTGGGCCCCTGGCCGGTCCACTGCCCGCACCCTAGGCTGCAGGGCAGCCGTTTCTGGCTCCTTCCAAGCCCAGGCGGCGTCGCCATTCCCCCGACACTCGGCCGCCCACGGACACCCGGTTGTGCCCTGGGAGGGGCTGCTGAGGGTCCCCGGTCAGCCTCAGCGCCTGGCGCCTGCGCGTGGCCCGTGGGCCGTGGCAGGGGAGGGGGGACAGGGTGGAGCCTACCTCACGGACCAGGCTGTCCAGGTCGGCCTGGGTCCGGCTCACTGCCACCACCTGCACCCCCATGGCATGCAGCGCCTGGACTGTGCTGCGCCCGATGCCTGCAGGGAGTGTGGGTGCGTGTGGCACACCGCCGCCCCCCGGACCCCCACCACCCTCTGGACCCCAGCCACCTCCTGGACCCCGGCCACCCCCTGGACCCCCGGACCCCTCCTCCTGGACCCCCAGCCGCCCTCTGGACCACTGGACCCCTCCTCCTGGACCCCTGGCCACCCTCTGGACCCCTGGACCCCTCCTCCTGGACCCCGGCCACCCCCTGGACCCCCGGCCGCCCTCTGGACCCCTGGACCCCTCCTCCTGGACCCCGGCCACCCCCTGGATCCCCGGACCCCTCCTCCTGGACCCCGGCCACCCCCTGGATCCCCGGACCCCTCCTCCTGGACCCCCAGCCGCCCTCTGGACCACTGGACCCCTCCTCCTGGACCCCTGGCCCCCTCCTCCTGGACCCCGGCCACCCCCTGGACCCCCGGCCGCCCTCTGGACCCCTGGACCCCTCCTCCTGGACCCCGGCCACCCCCTGGATCCCCGGACCCCTCCTCCTGGACCCCCGGCCGCCCTCTGGACCCCTCCTCCTGGACCCCGGCCACCCCCTGGACCCCTCCTCCTGGACCCCGGCCACCCCCTGGACCCCTCCTCCTGGACCCCGGCCACCCCCTGGACCCCTCCTCCTGGACCCCGGCCACCCCTGGACCCCCGGAGCCCGGCCGCCCCGCAGGCCCACCTTTGCCCGCCCCCGTGACGAGCGCCCGGCGGCCCGCGAGCCCCAGCTCCATGGCCGCGGTTCCGTCTCTGCGCGCGGCGCGGCCGGACCGCAGGCGGGAGGGCGCGGGGCGGGGCGCGGGGGACCAGTCACAGGCCGGGGTCCGGCGGGGCGGGGACATTGCGAGAGCACCGCCCGGGGCGGGGCGGGGCGGGGCGGGGCGGCCGGTCCACCTCCGCGCGTCTCCTCCCGCCGGGCGGTTGCAGACCCAGGGGTGGTCGGTGGCGCCCGGAGAAGGCCGCGGCGGGGAGGACGGCCTGGCCCTCCCGCCCCCCCCCCCCCCCCCGGGCGTGGCTCAGCCGCTTCACTTGGACAACTGTCAGCCTGAAGAAGCCACTGCCACAAAGGTCCACTGGAACTTCCAGGGGGCTGAGCCCCAGTGTAAAGGCCTGCCCACTTGAGACCACCAGCTCTTTTTTATTTATTTTTATTTTTTTTATTTATTTATGATAGTCACAGAGAGAGAGAGAGAGAGAGGCAGAGACACAGGCAGAGGGAGAAGCAGGCTCCATGCACCGGGAGCCCGACGTGGGATTCGATCCCGGGTCTCCAGGATCACACTCCGGGCCAAAGGCAGGCGCCAAACCGCTGCGCCACCCAGGGATCCCTCTTTTTTTTTTTTTAAGATTTTATTTATTCCTGAGAGACACACAGAGAGAGACAGAGACACAGGCAGAGGGAGAAGCAGGCTCCATGCAGGGAGCCCGAGGCAGGACTCCATCCCAGGACCCCGGGGTCACGCCCTGGGCTGAAGGCGGCGCTAAACCTCTGGGCCACCTGGGCTGCCCGAGACCACCAGCTGTTTAAAACACTTGGGCAGGGCAGCCCCGGTGGTGCAGTGGTTTGGCATCGCCTGCAGCCCAGGGCGTGATCTTGGGGTCCCGGGATTGAGTCCCACATCAGACTCCCTGCATGGAGCCTGCTTCTCCCTCTGCCTCTGTTTGTCTGTCTCTCTGTCTTTCTGTGTGTCTCTTGTAAATAAATAAAATCTTAAAAAAAATAAAATAAAACACTTGGGGCAGGATAAGGAGACATGGGATTGGGTTTGTCGGGCTGTGGTGTCCAGCGAGGGCAAGCTTTGCTTCCTGAGGCTGTGGGGTCATTTACAGACATATATGACCCCGTGTGTGCACCGCCTCGCCCATAAAAGCTGATTTGTGGGTCATGGTGAGAAAGCCTAGAACTGCCTGGAGTCCCTTCTGTGGTCAAGAATAGGGACTCGGTGATTGCAGGGCATCTGGGTCACTGGGGTTTTGGGCCCAGAGGAGTGGACAGGCTGGAGGAGACGGTAGCCAGGGCAGCATACGGCACAGACCTGAGAAGCCCCTGGAGAACAGCCAAGGGAGCCCTCCCCACCCAGCCTGGCCCTGAGGTGCACACCCTGTGGCTTCCCAGCAAATCCTGTCCTCTGCCTGCCGGAGGCCACCTGAGGTCCTTTTGGGAAGGCACATCGGCTTAGATCCCTTCTGTGACTTTCTTTTTTTTTTTTTTTAAAGGTTTTATCTACTTATTCATGAGAGACACACAGAGAGAGAGGGGCACAGACATAGGCAGAGGGAGAAGCAGGCTTCATGCAGGGAGCCCAATGTGGGACTCGATCCTGGGTCTGCAGGATCACACCCCGGGCTGCAGGCGGTGCTAAACCGCTGCGCCACCAGGGGCTGCCCCCCTTCTGTGACTTTCCTTTGACCTCAGAACGGTGTCCAAACCCTCAGACCTGTCCTGTGATTCCCAGTGGGTCAGTCCAGCTGCCACAAGCCCTGCTGCGGGAGGGCCCTGCAGGTTGGCCGGAAATGCCCCGAGCTGTGCCCACCCCTGCCAGGGCCGGAGGCTCTCCTAGCCAGGCAGTACCCACCCAACCCCTCTTCCCCGCCTCCTGGGCCAGGGAGGGAGGCTTTCCCAGTCGAGCTGAGGGACCACCACAGGCCGCATCACCCCGCGGTTGCCATGTGGGGGCTCCACTCAGGCGAGCTCCAGTGAAAGCCCGCAGGGCCCGCAGAGCTGTTGGGTCTGGACTCGGCGGGGACAGCAGGCAGGCCCCGCTGCGGACCCCTTCGGGCCAGTGGTCTGGTGCGGGGAGGGAAGTGTGCGGGATAAACTGGGCTGCTGCAGCACCGCGCCGTCCCAGCGGCTGGGGGCCGGTCCCGTCTTCCCGAGGGATGGCCTGGTCCAGTCCAGGGCACCTTCCCCAGCTCCCGGACCCGCAGCCGCCCGGCTGCTGGCGGTCGGAGCTGCGGGGTGGGGATGGTGGCCGCAGCCGCGCTCTGCCCTGCCCTCGGGCCTCCGCGCAGGGCTGCTGCGCTGCTCTGGGGAAGAGCCTGGGCCGCGAGGCTCTCTGTGCAAACAAGGCGCAGCCCTGCAGCCAGGAGGAGCCAGGTCGCGGGGAGTCCCGGCGGCCGGGATCCGCCCCCTCACCTCCCGGCGCCTCCCTCCAAACCCGGCAAGCACCGGATCCAGGACAATGGCCTCCGTTTATTTAGGCAAATCCCACCAGCGACGGAGGACACAGTGGGCGGGGGCGACGGGGCGAGTTTCACGGCGGCGCGGCTGTGGATGCGGAGCGCGGCCACACACGGGGCCTGCACCGGGGACGGGCTGCCGGGGGCGGGGCCGCGGCCGCGGTGGGGGCGTGGCCAGGGAGGGGCGGGGCCGCGACGGGGCGGGGCCTCGCGGGGGCGTGGCCAGTGGGGGCGTGGCCGCGGCGCGGTGGACCGAGCGGAGCCCCGCTGGCTCGCCCGCGCCGGCGCCCTAGGAGGCCAGGTACCCGCCGTCCACGAGGATGCCCGAGCCGCTGGTGGAGGCGCTGCGGTCGCTGAGCAGGAAGAGGATGCTGTTGACCACGTCCTCCATGTCTGCGGGTTGCGGCGGGGGCAGGCGGGGTCAGCGGGGGCGCGTCCCGGCAGCCCCGGCCCCGCCCGCCCGTGCCCGCCGCCCGCAGCCCCGCTCACCAGCGAACTTCCGCAGCGGGTGCCGCTCCTTCAGCTTCCGGACTAGCTCGGGGTCCGTCAGGATCTTCTGGCTCATGGCCGTCGGCACCACCGTAGGGTCCACGGAGTTTACCCGAATCTAGGGCCCGGGGGCCCACGGCGGCCTCAGCAGGTAGGTGAGCCCCCCTGCCCGCCCCCCTGCCCGCCCCCGCAGAACTTACTTTCCGTGTCCAATCTCTGACCCCACTGCCAGAGCCTCGGATCCTCCTCAGGCCTCTCCCATACCCCACGCCCCATGCTGCCCATGACCCTTGCCAGCTGCAAGCCCCACTCCCAGCACCTACCTTGTGCCTGCAGACCCACCTCCTGTGCCCCCCCCCCCCGCCCCCCCGTCCCTCAGGGCCCCCTTTCCACGCCCACCTTGTATGGCCCCAGCTCTGAGGCCATGGCTTTGGTGAGCATGGTCATTGCACCCTTGGTAGAGCCTGTGGAGGGAGGGGGCAGTGCTGAGGACACTTAGGGATTCAGCCTTCTTTGCACAGAGGCTAAGCCTGGAGCCCAGCATCTCCTGCATGGAATGTGGGGGGCGGGGCTACAGGCTGGGCCGAGGGACTCACTGTAGACTGATAAGTTGGGGAAGGTGACATGGGCCACCATGCTGGAGACATTGACGATGGACCCAGGCACTCCACGGTGGATCATGCCCCGGGCCACAATCTAGAAGCCAAGAGAGGGGCAATCTGACCCCACTGTGCTCCCACCTGGGCCTTGTTATCGCCGGGCCTTGTCCTCCCCCTGGCTCACCTGGGATACCTGGACCACCGAGCGCAAGTTCACGTTGAAGGCCCTGGGGGAGGGGCATAGAGTCAAGTGCGTGGCCACATCTGCCCCACGATCTCAGCAACCCTTCCCCAGTCCACCAGCTCTCCTACTCCTCACCTGTCGAAGGCCTCCTTGGTGACCTCCAGGAAGGGCTGCAGCAGCGCCACGGCAGCGTTGTTCACCAGCAGGTCCACGGGGCCCACGCTGCCCAGCGCCCGCTCCGTGGCCTCCCAGTCACCCAGGTCCACACACACGGTCTCTATCCCAGGGCACTGTGGAGAAGCATTGGCTGGTGACCAAAGGAGGTGGTCCCAGCAGGCTCATGAAGGTGTGCGGGAGCAGGCTCTGGCCCTGGCGCTGGGGGTGAGGGGGTGGGGTGGAGGTTGTGTGCCTCACCTCCTTGGAGAGGCTGACCAGGTCAGTGTTGGTGCGGCTCACGGCTATCACTCTGGCTCCCAGGCCATGCAGGGCCTTCACAGTGTCCCTCCCGATCCCTGCAGGGGTGCAGTGGGTGAGCAGGTGGCTCAGTACATGTAGCTCAAGGCTGAGGGCCGGGGCTGCAGCCCCTTTCACTGAGGAAAGAACAAGGTGCTGGCCAGAGGATGGACACCATGGGGCAAGAGGCCGTCTGAGTCAGAAGCTCGACCAACCAGGATCTGACCACGGGAGCCCCCGGAGAGCAGCTCCTTCCCCCTGGGCCGGGGGAAGAGGCCCTGGCTGGATCTCTGAGCCTGAGGGCCACCGTCTAGGGGCGGGGGACTTGCTTGCACTGATCAGGGAGTGGCCAGTGTCCTGTTCCAACATAGCCTGCTAGGTGGTGGACATCAGCCTGGGCTCAGGTCCAGGGGCTGCTAGGAGTGCAGTGGGGGGGGATAATTGCTGGCGGGGCGGTCTGTGACAGGCATGGAGGGACTCCCAGGATCCCCAACACAGGCCTGTGAGGCTTCAGGGGAGACCCCACCTTCCTCTCCAGCTCAGCCCCTCCTGCGCCCTCACCTGCTCTACACATACCCACCTTTCCCTGCCCCTGTCACCAGGGCCTGCAGGCCGCTGAAATTCAGCTGCATGGTGCTCACTCGGAGCCTCCGTCCAGCGGGAGAGGAAGGCATGGAGGTTTTAAAGGCCTGGGGCGGGCCGTTGTGGGGGCACAGGGCAGGGGTGGGGCATCACAGCAGCTCTGTTTCCTTGTTCACAGGAATCTTCTTTTTTTAATATTTTATTTACTTGACAGAGAGCTTGTGGTTGTGAAAGAGCACAAGCAGGGGGAAGGGCAGAGAAGGAGGGAGAAGCAGGCTCCCTGCTGAGCAAGGACACTGGGCTGATCCCAGGACATTGTTCATGACCTGAGCCGAAGGCAGACGCTTCACCATTGTTCACAGGAATCTGCTGCCCTCCTCACCCACACCCCACAGGTGCTGGCCCAAAGCTCAACGCTGAGTTTTGGAAAAGTAAATAAAAATAAATCCTAGACTGGGGCCATGCCTGTTCTTGGCTGGCTGGAGACAGTGGCCAAGGCACGCTGGGCTCAAGGCTGGCCTCCTGCCCTGCTGACCCTGACTCCACCGGGGCCCCAGCGTGGGGGCCACTGCGGCTCCAGAGTCTTCCTCACCTGCCCCTGGCCAGCCCGGGAATTCCTACCCTCTGGCCGCCCACCCAGCGCTGAGCCCTGTCCACAGGAGTGGCCGTCCTGAGGTGCCCACATTCCCTCTCGGGTGTGGCTCTGGGAGGGGGGGTCCTCTCCTTCCCCAGTTGTCCTTCTCTGGTTTCCCTCCCTCCCCGCCTTTTGCATTTCATCTCCGTGCAAATCCGATGTACTCTTCCAGGTGCCCGAGGAGCTGTGGGCTCCTGAGTGCCACTGATCCCTGTGGCTTCTGATGGGGATGAGCCGGGGGCATGTCCTGAGTGCCTCCCAGTCCTGCGCAGGGGGCCTTGTGGGACCAAAGCCACCGTCCGGAGGTCCTGCGTTCGGGGCACATGAACACCCCTGCCAGGCCCTCCAGGTGTGGCCCGGACACACAGGTGAGCCCTGGCCGCCTCTCCCTCCCTCAGACCTGGCCAGACACCAGGTGCAGCCCCAGCAAGACAGGCTCCTGTCCTGAGAGCCATCCTGCGTCTCTGAGACCCCTGAACTCCAGAGCACCCAGGTGGGCTTGCCCTTGGGGATAGAAGGTTGGCAACCCTCGCCCTGGGTATGACACAGCACATTCCATCTGACTTTCTTCCCGGATACTTGTTAGAAATTCATCTCCAAGGGTGTCAGCTGTGGGGGTGGAAGGCTGAATCTGCCCTGTGCCCGGCAGGCCCCATTACGCACCGAGGGCTGGCTGGGAAGCGCGACCTTCGCTGCAGCTAAGCCCACGCCAACCATGGAACCCTCAGGTGTAAACCCAGATCCCCAACACGGAGTGCCCCTGCCCCACCCCTGCCAGAGCCCCGGCAGCTGGCTTCCATGTGGCCTGGGGGACAGCCCCCACCCTCCGCCCGCCGCTTGCCTGATCTGTGCACAGAAGTCCCTCTGGGGAGCCTTCTCCCAAACACCCGCTGGTTAAAAACATCTCCCTGCTTTCATTAACCCACACCCCAAATCAGAACCCGGCAGCAGGTGCCCCTCTCCTCCACGGTCACCACCACATTCCTGACACATTCCAAATGTTACAGATAGTTTTTGAGATAATTCAGAATTACGAGGATGCCACAGAGTCTCCTCCCTCTAAACCATCTGAGAGTAAAACACACCCTGTCACCTCCAAGTAGCTTCATGTCTGCTTCTTTCAAACACAGACGTTATCCCGCACAAGCACAGCACATGCTTGTGCACACGCGCACACACACGATAGCTGGGAGTCTAGCAGCACGTGTCGCCAGCTCCCATCCAAGTCTCGTTAACTAGCCCAGTGATGTTCTTTTAAATTTTTTTTTTATTTATTTACGATAGTCATACAGAGAGAGAGAGAGAAAGAGAGGCAGAGACACAGGCAGAGGTAGAAGCAGGCTCCATGCACCGGGAGCCCGACGTGGGATTCGATCCCGGGTCTCCAGGATCGCGCCCTGGGCCAAAGGCAGGCGCCAAACCGCTGCGCCACCCAGGGATCCCGATGTTCTTTTTAAAAAGCACGGCTTCCTCGAGGTTTACCTGATAGGCACTGTGAAGTGACAAAGACTCACCTGAGTACATTTGCAAGATCTTTTTTTTTTTAATTTTTTATTTATTTTTCGATAGTCATACAGAGAGAGAGAGAGAGGCAGAGACACAGGCAGAAGGAGAAGCAGGCCCCATGCACCGGGAGCCCGACGCGGGACTCGATCCCGGGTCTCCAGGATCGCGCCCTGGGTCAAAGGCAGGTGCCAAACCGCTGCGCCACCCAGGGATCCCCACATTTGCAAGATCTAATTGGGTTTCTCAGTCAATTTGTGGATTAGGCATCTTCCCACTTAGGGGAGTAGAGAGAGGCCCCGCTGAGCAGCAGGGAAGGACACGTTTTTGTTTATTTTTTATTTATTTATTTTTAAAGCTTTTATTTATATTTATTCATGAGAGGCAGAGACAGAGGGAGAAGCAGGGTCCCTGCAGGGAGCCCGATGTGGGACTCAGGGATCGAGTCCCTGGGCCGAAGGCAGAGCCACCCCAGGTCTCAAGGACAGGTTTTCAAAGGAAGAGAGGGAAGGAGAAGGGAAGTTACCTTGTTTCGGGCAAGGCGGCCTCCCGGGGGGAGCGGGGTTTCTCAGTTTGCTTCCGGGCCCTGCCGGGCCATGCCCAGGTCCACTGGGTCAGGGGTCTCTGTCCTCAGTGACTGCAGTTTGGGCTGATGGTTTTGAGCAACACTGAACGGATACACCTGGGGGCCTTGGGGCCTCGGCAAAGGGCGGTGAACCGGTCACTGCGATCGAGGCCATCAACAGGCCCACCCCCTGCGCAGGCGTCCTGGTGGCTCGGCCGTCCCTGGACCTCACTCCTCTTGCCTGGATCCCCCGTGTCAGTTCTGTGCAGGGGAAGCATCCAGAGCAGGCTCCCCCTGGATTTGGGGCGGGCCTGGTCTCTCATCTCCCTCACTGGGAACCCTCCTCAGTCTTTCCTTGACCTTTATTACCTTGACGTTTCTGAAGACTGCAGGTCAGTTCTTTTTTTTTTTTTCCTTTCTTTCTTTGAGAGACCGCAGGCAGGGGGCGTGGGGAGGAGGAGGGAGGAAGCAGGCTCCCCGCGGAGCAGGGAGCCCAACGAGCAGGATCCGATCCCAGGACCCCGGGATCATGACCTGAGCCACCTGAGCCCCCCGGGTGCCCCAGAGGTCAGTTCTTTGGTAGAAAGTCCCTCAGCTGGGCCTGCCCCGTGTTCCGTCGTGAGTAGACGCTGTGGGTCTCCGTCAGGGGTGGCGGGGAGAGGCTCAGGGTTGGAAGGTGGTGGGACCCGGGTGTCGGCTCTGACCACCGCAGGCGCAGCAGCGTCGTCCTCCCGCTTCACATCTGTCCTCAGCGCCTTGGCAAGCGTCCCCTGTGGCCGCGCTGTCTCTGAGGCGCCGGAGAGGATTTGGGTCTGGGCCCCGCGGGCTGTCCGCCCCCCCAGGAGGACGGGCCACAGCACGTCTGACTTCACTTCCAGGTAAGGCCGCCCTGGCACCGGAGCTGGGGCGGGAGCAGGACAGGAGGGAGAAGCGCCCGCGTGGACGCCCGCCAGGCCCGGCCCCCACCCTCTGACTGCGCCCAGCTCTGCGGCCCAGCGTGGTGGCCACACGTCGTCCTGGGGGATCGGCGCCCCGCTGGCCCTCGCCGCCCCCGCCCCGCCGCTCTCTGGGGCAGAGGAGCCTCTGTGACCTTCCCTCCCCACCTTGCGGAGGAGCAGCCGCCCACATCCGCCCTTCGTGCCCTTCGTGCCCTTCGTGCCGTGGCCTTGCAGGAACGGGTGGGCGGCGGCGGCCGTGCGTCCCGGTGCCCCCCGATGGCCGACGGCGGAGGCCTACGCCAGGCTGCCCTCTCCGCTCTGTGTGCCCTCCGCCCTCGGCGCCGCTCCCAGCCCGTTGTCCCCGCGCGGAGTCCCGCACACCCGTCCCCAAAGTCACGCTGCTACTTGGCCCAGCGGACAGACGGACGGACGGACGGACGGACCGCTGCGCGAGCGGCCGGAGCTGCCCGGGGCCTGTGCGGCGGGACGATGCAGCCCAACTGCCGCGGCCTCTCGGCAGAGGGACGCTGGGCTCCCCGCACTGGGTGCAAAGTGTGACCCCGCGACCCACCCCAATGTGCCTTGGGTGCTTCAGCGGTTGGTGCTGCTGCTTTCACACAGTGTCCCTGGGACCCGAGCGGTCCCCTGGCACCGTCATTCGGGGTGACACTGAGCATGCGTCTGCAGAAGCTCAGCGCTTCCAGGACTATTGAGGACACTTTCGGGTCCCTTGTGTAGGCCTTGTGCTGGGACTGCCCCTTCCCCTGTGTCTCTGCGCCAGGAGAAGCAGACAGCACAGCCTGCCGCCCCTGTCCCCCTGTCCCCCCACCGTCCCTGCCGTCCCCACATGCCCTGTATCCCCGTCCCCCCGCCCCTCACCCCCCTGCTGCGGAGCGGTGCGCAGCTGCGGGCACAGGAACGCAGACACCATGGGGCACAGCCCACCGTGCGCAGCGAAGCAGGCCGCCGCCAGCCCCGGGCCCAGCCTCCTGTGGGGTCCCAGCCGCTGCCAGCGTCTGTGTGAGCCTGGGACCCAGAGGCCACGGGGGCAGGGCCAGGGCCTGCGGATGCCCACAGGTGCCAACATGCGCCCCCCCAGCGGCTGGGGCACAGGGCAGCCCCACGGCCTCCCGCAGCCTCCAGCGAGCCCCCTGCCTTCCCCCACGCGCGCCCCCACCCCAGGGCCTCTCACACGGGCTCATCACCGTCTCCTAAAGGAGGGTGTTGGCTCCTCGCTGCACAGCGTGAGGAACCATGTCCGGCTTGTGCTCTGCACTTGGATTGCATGTGCTGGACCCAGAGGGAAGGGGACCATGAAACAGGCCGCAGGAAGGGTGTGACCCGGCTGGCAGGAGCCCACGGCGGGGGTGGGGAGCAGTCGCTCAGCTGTGCTGCGTGGGCGTCCCTGGCCAAACCCCGAGGGAGAAGGATGGGCCGGCGGGGTCTGGGCCTGGCCTCTGGCCCTGGGTTCGTGACTCCGAGCCTCTGCAACGTCCCTCCTGACGAGCATCTCGGTGTACGGGGCCTCGCTGAGGGTAGTCTGGGGGCTGGTTTATGCGGCGGGGGGGGGGGGGCGCCCGGGATGGGCACCTGTGGGGAGGGCGGTAGTCTGCGGGCCGGCGGCCACACAGCCAGTGGGCGAGTGAGCGCCCCAAGCCCCCGGCACCAGGACAGGCAAGCTTCCCGGGTTGGCAGCATGTGCTCAGTGTCACAGGCCAGGACTCCAAGGGGAAGAGATCGTGGGAAGGCCCCCACCCCGCCAGGTGCCACCCTGTCTCTCCCTTTGGTGGTTTTCTGATTCCATTTGCTGTAATAAAACTGTGATCCTAAATGCAGCACCTTCCGGGCTTCTGTGGATTGCTCTAGCGACTTACGGAAGCTGAGGGTGGCCCTGGGACCCCTGACCTCACCACCGCTGTCGGAGATGGGGGTGGTCTCCTGGGGATGATGCTTCCCTGGGCTGCAGTTTTCTTTTCTTTTCTTTTCTTTTCTTTTCTTTTCTTTTCTTTTCTTTTCTTTTCTTTTCTTTTCTTTCTTTTCTTTCTTTTCTTCTTTTCTTTTTTTTCTCTCTTCTCTTCTCTTCTCTTCTCTTTCTCTTCTCTTCTCTTCTCTTCTCTTCTCTTCTCTTCTCTTCTCTTCTCTTCTCTTCTCTTCTCTTTTCTTTTCTTTTCTTGATGCAGAACTTGATCCTAGGTCTCCAGGATCACACCCCAGGCCGAAGGCAGCGCTAAACCTCTGAGCCACTGGGGCTGCCCCAGGCTGCAGTTTCTAAGCCCTGTTGCCACAGGCTAGACCCGCGCTGCAATCACAAGCCCCAGAACCCCAGGGCCCTGACATGGGGAAGCCACCCCCACGCCCCCCGGGCCCCGGGCCAGCTGTGCAGCCTCCGCCACGTCGCCACCTCGTGGCTGCACCCTCTGGAACTTGGTCCTCGCAGCGGGTGGCGTGGGGGCTCTCAGAGCGGGCCTGGGAGTGATGGGCCTTGCTTCCCCCTGCAGCTGCACTGAGCCTCCCGGTCCCACCTGCACTTAGCGCCCAGGTGAGTCCGGGAGCAGCGGGCTGTGTGCTGGGTCCCCACAAACCGCCTGGCCTCTCTGAACTTTCCAGTGACCGCCCGTGGTTCCCAGTCCTTCTCACCTCCTCTTCTCTCCACAGACCCCTCACGCCGACCCTCCTCCCCCTGAGCTGACAGCCTGCCCCCTCCAGTGCTGCCCCCGCCCCCGCCCTCTGCTCCCAGCACCCCCTCAGCACCCCCAACCACAGCTCCTGTCTGCTCTCACCTGCAGAAAAACACCTGCAGAGAGAAGCTGTTCTCAGCAGCTCCTTCCCCAGGAGACCCTGTGCATGAGCCCCCTGTGTGCAGCCCTAGTGGCCCCCCAGGCCCTGCCTCACGGCCTGCCCGCTGCACAGGCCCAGGGGTTGCCGGGGAGGGCAGCTTGCCACAGAGCTGGGCCAGGGCAGCAGGGCAGGGAGGACAGTGGGCAGGGCGCCGAGGCCCCGAGGACTCTGGCTTCTCATGCGGCAGGTGCTGGCAGGTGGGTGAGGGGGTGGGGAGGCCCGGGTGCCCAGAAACCCCACGTGAAAGACCTGGCTGCACCCGGACAAAGGTCCTTCCCAAGCCTCCAGAGCAAACTTCTCAACTTCTCAGGTTCCTTCCTTAAGAGGGAGGGAGGTTTTAAGTACTTTTCCTGTTTCTCAGGACAAGGAGACTGCACTTGAGCAGACCTGCCTGAAACTCAGCCACACCCCATAGGGGACACTGGAGCAGGATGCGGTGGGGATGCCACCTAGAAACTTCTGTGACCGGGAGGTGTGGGCAGGCAGGGTCGCATGACTGTACTCTGTGTCCCTCCAGAAGGTGGTGAGGCGGGGAGGGCGCTGGTGGGCACAGCGCCTGGAAACCACCACCGCCTCCCAAGCAAGGGCACTTCGGTGCCAGGAGGGCCGAGGGACAGGGGCTGCCCTGTGCTGTTCACACTGAGCGAGTGGCTTCTCTCAGAGCGGCCGCCTCTGCTGGGCCCCGTCACCACCCAGGCCTGGAGCCTGCACTGTTTTAGGCCTTTCCTCATGCTCCGCTGGCCGCCTCGGCCCACCAGGACCCGCTGGCTCCGCTCCACGAGCTCCACGAGGGTCTGCCTGTGTCCTGTTTCCCGTCCCCCAGGCCAGCCCACCTGCAGTCTCCCAGCCCAGCTCTCAGCCCTGCTGCTCCTGCGTGTTGCCGGGAGAGGCCCGGGCTCCGTCCCCGCTGGCCGCTGCCTGCTTGGCTCTCTGCTCCCTCACCGTCTGGGCTTCTGGGCCCATGAAGCCAGGCTGGGATGTCAGCTTCTCTGGGGGTCGCCCCTCTGGGTTCTTGCACCCCAGGTGACCCCAGGGCTGACGTGACAGCCTGAACCCCAGGAGGACACGTGTGCCATCCACCACTGTCTCCTTGGCACTTGGCAGAGACTGTGCTTCCAACCGTGTCTGTGGAGTAAGGAATGAGTGAACGAACGAATGAACGGCACATTCGTTGTTTTTTTTTAAACATTTTTTTTTTTATTTTAGAGCGAGAGCAGGGTGGCAGGGAGCAGGGAGGAGCAGAGAGAGAGAGAGACTCCTGCTGAGCAAGGAGCCTGACACGACCTCGTGGTCACGACCTGAGCCAAAACCCCGAGTCAGACACTCAGCCAACCCAAGTGTCCTCGACCGGCACATTCTAGAACAACGGGGAGCCGACTTGTGGCTACAATGAGTGCAGGCTGTGCAGAGAACCTGTGGCTCAGCGGTCACAAGGTAAGAATCACCGTGGAGACGTCGTCTTCCTCTCCTGGCCTGTGCCCAGGATGGGCGGAGGTGCTGTCACTCTCAATAGGATGTGATCAAGAAAGCACTGTTGGCAATGACACAGCACCGTGAATCCTGAAGTGGAGACAAGCAGGACACAAACCCCCCAGAGCAACATCAGGATGAGGGCAGCACAGGGGGGCTTCCTGGAGGAGGCAGGAGGCAGGCACCGCAGAGAGGAAGCACAACAGGACCCTAGGAGGGAGAGAAAGTCTGTTGAGGTCACCAGACGCAGGCCAGCACTCCTTCACCGCTCGTGGGCGCACGTGCATGCAGGGACACACACAGGCACACACGCGTGTGCGCCCACTGAGCAGGTGCACATAGGAAATGGGCACAACACCCACGTAGGTGTGCACATGCCAGCACATGCGTGTGCACACGCAGCTGCACGGCGCACACAGGCACACGTGTGGGAGGACACGTGTACACACGTCTGGCCGGCGGGAGGGGGGCCCCGGGGCCCCAGGCTTGGCTGCATCGCCGCCCGGCGGTCAGTGCGGCTCTGCGCGGCTGGGTTGGGGCTGCCGGGATCCTGCGGGGCCGGATCGCACCTGACGCTGGGAGCTCTGAGTACACCCGTGGGTGAGGACGGGGCGCTCGCCCCTCCAGGGGATGCCAGGGGCATCTCGACATTGTATTTTGTTTTCTTCTGGACAGTGAGGGGCTTGAAAAGACTGAAGACCTTCGAGGTTGCGTCGCCCGGGCCACCGTGTCGGTCCTGGTTCTGGAGGACCCGGGAGCAGCGCGTCCGTGCCCCGTCGTCAGGCCCCGTGGGACGGCGGCCCGTCCGGGGCAGGCCCTTACCCCGCGGCTGCGCCCGAGCCTGGCCCCTGCCGAGCCGCTGGCAGCCTCAGGGAGGCCCCCTGCCTCCACCGTCTCCGGAAGGCCCTGACCCCACCCGGGCCGGGCGGCGTCTGGCCTCTCGGGAGCTCACTGCCTGGCAGCCTGGTGCGGGCCCCGGCGTGCGAGGGGACACCTGGGCGTCAGGGTCACTTGCCCGGAGGCTCCCGGGACCTGGGCCGGAGCCGCCCTCTGACTGCTGACAGCGTCTCTGCTGGGCTCAGGCCTGAGGCCCCTGCACCCAGGACACTGGGGCGATGGCAGAAGGGACAAAGGCTAGACCCGGAGGGCCTGCGGGCAGATGTCCCCGGAGGCTGAGGAGCTCCTGCCTGAGGCTTGGAGGCGGCGTGGCTGTAAGGGGATGCCCGGGGGAGAGCCACGGGGGGGGGTGGGGGAGGGTGGAGAGCCCCGGGGGAGAGCCTCGGGGGGGGGGGGCCGGAGAGCCACGGGGAGAGCCGGGGGGGGGTGGAGAGCCACGGGGGAGAGCCTCCGGGGAGAGCCTGGGGGGGGCAGAGAGCCACGGGGGAGAGCCACGGGGAGAGCCTCAGGGGAGAGCCATGGGGCTGCCCCCTGAGGGGAGGGCCAGGGCTGCCGAGGTGTCTGGGCCCACCCGCGCCCCGGGACTTGACCCCAGCCTGCAGCTCAGCGGCTCGGCCGCCCTAGGGTCCTGGGGACCTTTCTGGGAGGAAGTACCTCCTCCCAAAGCCGCACGTTTGGCAGCTTTTCTCCTTTCTCCCAGGCGAGGGAAACGGGGGACAGGCTGGGGGCCCGGGGGCCCTGGGTGTGGCTTCAAGCTGCTTATTTATTTATGTATTTAGGAGGCTGCAGCCCAGCGTGGAGCCCGATGCGGGGCTGGAACTCACGAACCCGAGATCAAGACCCGAGCTGAGATGCAGAGCGGGACGTTCGGCTGACTGAGCCCCCCAGGCGCCCCTCAGGTTCTTACACGAGCCCCTCAGGGAGGTGCCCACCTTCCGGGGTCCAGGCAGCCTGGGCCTTGTCCTGACCGCGGCTGGGAAAGTGGCCTCAGGCGGTTGGGGGCCCAGAGCTGGGAGGGGAGTGGCCCGGGGCTCTGTGGCTGTGGGAGGGGGCAGGGAAGCCCACCTGCCCGGCTGGGTGGGGGGCGAGGCCTGGGGTGCGGAGCAGGGCCGGCCCTGGGCCCGGCGAAGCCACCTGGAGGGTGCGTCTGGGTGCGGGCGTGGGAACTGAGCCCCGTGTGCCCCTGCCGAGCAGCCAGGACGCCGTGGAGACCCCCCTCGCCGCGGTGACTCCCCGCAACTGAGCTTTCAGAATGCGGTGCTGGTGTCCTCTCCTCCGAGGAGACACGAGACCGCGCCCGCGGCGTGTGCGTGCCAGGGGCCCCCGAGCCGGCGCCGGCCCCCGCCCTCTGCGCTTTTCCCTGCTTCCTCCCTC